TGTATTCTTCAGGGTAAGACTAGTGGTTTGCTTTTATTTTCAGCATTGTTGAGAATTTTTAGATCACGATGAAAAAAGAGTTGTTTTTTTTTCAAAAAAGACTTTATTACTCTCCCTATGTTCCATCATTGAAAGTGAGTGTTTTGTTTTGCCATAGCCTTTTTGTTGTATCATCTCCAACACTGTTCTTTGAAGGCCTGTTCTTCTTACCAAGGAAGTCCAACTTTGCCACTCAAATAAGTCTCCCTATTCCCAGTTCTCTGTCTCCCTAATATACTCCCCACATGCTGGTATCACCCATGTGCTCTCATTTCTCTCCTCGCTGTTATTTGAATGTTTTGGGAAAAAAAATGAAAGCTTCTGAGCTGGGTAAAAAAAGGTGAATGGACTTTCTCCGGGATTGCAGAAGAGGCTCTTGACTTGAAGTCAATACTAGAAAAAATTGGAAGTTCATGCCCAAAGCATGGGGATGCTAAAGCGTTTTGGAGTGACTCCAGATTTCCAGCAGAAGTTGGGGAGTGGTGCGGTGTGAATGTGTCTATATGTGTTTATATAGATTCCTTGCAAGCTGCAAAGCTATCTTGTCCCTTTTTTTCTCTCCAAAGCTGGCTTGAGTGTAGCGCTGTCGAGGGAAGTTTTAGCTCAGAGCACTAAGTTCAGCAGCAGAAGGCAATATTGTGTGAGAGAGAAGTTGAGCACTTGGTGTGTGATAACTGAGAGATTTGATTTGTGTTCATGGTCCTGTGCAGATGCTGCATAGAAGCAGTGAAAATTCATGCTCCTGCAGCAGCGTAGTGGGTAGTGTGTGTGTGTGTGGTCTCAGCGTTGCAAAAAGACCTGGAATTATGACATTTTCTGAAAATATTTGGAACTTCACCTTTATCTTGTGCTATTTTTTAAATAACCCTCAAATATTAAAAGGTTTAGCGAAACTAGTCAAATACCATTAGCTACAGCAGCAAGCTCTTATAGTGGATAATGCTCACTCTCTGGTTTGCATGTGGTGTTTTAGGGAAATACTTGGAAAAATTCTGTTTGTCTGAATTTTGTGAAGTGGCAGTTTGCTTGTATGTCCAGCAGTCCAGTATAGCACACCTGAAAGTGCTTAATCTTGGATGGCACAGTATAGAAAGAAGATGGGAAATGGTGAAGAATATTCAAATAAAATTTTAAGAGTGGATTTACAAAGAGGAATTGCAATTATAGGTTTTTAGCTTGTTTAATAGCCCCTGTAGGAATGTAACTGTGATCCGTGTTATCACATGTCTCTTTTTTTAATTTGTAAATCTGTATATATTCAAGATAGAAATGAAGAGTGGGAGAAAAAAAGATGAATATAAAAAGAAATTCCACAAAAAGCTATTCAAGGAAAATATTGCAACCTCTCAGCTCTGAGAGGTAACCTTGAAATGTCTGAACTGGCTCATTCATCAATATGCCAGTCAAATACAGAAGTTTGCCCAGTCTATGATTGTGGATATTTCAATGTCATTTAGTACGAAACTGTAGATAATGCGCTTGCACTCTCACACGTTTGACGTCACAAAAACTAAAAAGCTTCTTACTCTATTATTCTTACGTGATCAGAAGAAAAAATGTGTTTTTTCCCACTGGTAGTTTCTGCATGTCAGTTTGCATTGTAAATACAGATGCCTACAGCAAATTGAAAATGTATGAACTGGATAAACCAAATGAACTGATAAACAGAATACGTGTAAATTTTTTTTTATTTTCCCATCAGATTTGTGTATCTTGATTTCAGCAGTAATTACGACCTCCAGGACATTCACGTTCTCCGTCCCATTAATGATTATTGCATCCGCTTGTCACTCTCTCGCATGTCAAAGGCTAAAGGGTCTTAGCCTATTGCTTGTGAAAATTATTGATTATTCTTATGTATTTTCTTCGTCTCCTTTCTTTATTCTTTTCCACTATCTGCTTAAGTAAGTATATAGAATTGTTCTTAATTCATGGATTCTAGCTTCTTCCACTGTTATGGGCTGTGGGAAAAGTGAGGTTTTTTTTCTGCTGGCTGCCTAGAAATTCCTTGCCAGTCAACCTTATTCACATATGTATTGGTCACTTATTCGTTACGATTCATGATGTTCCCTTAGAAAAGGAAATAACTTCCTAAAGTATTGTTAGCTTTGACAAAATTTCTACTAATTCAAGTACTTTGTAAGTCAAAATCTAGAGGTCTTGCTTCTGAGGAGCCTTTATGGGATGCTGGAAAAGATTTTGAGGGGTAGGGAAATGTGTTGTTTGTTGAAAACAAAGAATAGGATCCTAAAACACAAGTCATCAGTTCAAGTGAGACTGTTGGGGCAAAATTAGCTGAATTGAAATACATAGGATCAAACACCAGGCTTTAAGTAAATTTGAGGCATTTTTTTCCATAGTTTCCTCATTTTCTACTCTACCCTACTTGTACGTTTAAATAATAATAAAAGATATATCAAATCGAGTTGTGGCATCACTTCTTCAGAAAGTTTCTTTATGTAGGAGTAGCAATTACACGTTTTCCAAAACTGATACTGATGGTATTTTGGATGGAAGAGGAGGAAGGATGTCATGTGCTTCATAAGGTGCTACATGGAGTGTCAGATGGTTGGGGTTCAATTTCTGTCCTGAACCTGCAGTGAAACCCTGTGCATCCCAGGGTGACGTGGTGCTTTGGCTCTGCACCTGCAGGGTGGAGGTGTGACTACTTTGCGGGATTTGCTAAAGAAAAAAAACGTTATTTTTTTTCTGGGACTTTATGTTGTGCAACTTCTGGCATACCAGTGTCCTCACCTTGCATTGGGTCTGTAGGCCACGCTACAAGCAAGTGTAGTGTATGTGTAATACCTCCTTTGCTCCAAGTATGAATGCTTCTTGTTAGTTGTTATCTTGTTCCTTGTGCATTAAGATGTGCAGTGGGATTGGAACAAAAATTCCAGCAGTGCATAAAGCCACGTAACTCATCTTTGGTTTCTTCTGTCCACCGGGTCCTGGTTGAAGGGGATGTGTTGTGTGGCCTCTGCCACCCACGGTCCTTGCTGGGGAGGAGAGCGTGGCTGAACACGCAGTGCTGCGAGGGGAGGCCACGTGCACAGGCCGGGCACGTGCTGGAGATGCAGGGGGGAGGCCTCGGGGCCGGAGGGCGCTGAGCCCCGCTCCTTGTCCCCGCTCCTTGTCCCTGCCGTTGTCCTTGTCCCTGTCGCGCCTGCCTGGGCACGTAGCGGGCAGCGCTTCCCGCCGCAAGGTTCTTGGAGCTTCCGAGTCGCACTTGAGGTCACGTCCCGGCCCAGCAGCGTAGGCACAGCGGGAAGCAAAGCTGAAATGAAATAGGGGTTCCCCAGTGGCCTTGGAATTTAAAATGAGTACAAATGTACCTTCCAGCAAGAATTTTTATTTCATATAAACTTAAAATACAGTATTTTGAATGGTTTTTAATACGCAAAGGCCAAACAAGTAGGCAGTGTGCTAACACCAACAAAGGGAAACGGGAAGAGGGCTTCAGACTTACTGTAAAAATGCATTTTAATTTCATTATTGTCCTACAGATTATTTGTTTAATCCCCCTTGATAGATGGGACCATAGAAGACAGGTTTCTTAAGTCTTTAAAAATTGCTTAAAGTTTTCTGGATGTTCTTGCCTTACTAGGAGAGTGCTGTTGTGCATAACTGCTTAAGTGGCTTGAACTCTGTATTAAATTTGTACCTTCCTAGAAGCACTGAAATGATGTTGGAATGGACCAAATAATTGGCAGCCACTGGCTGTAGTGTTCAGGACAGATCCACAACATAAATAGGGGGATTTCCTGCATCAGTTTTTACTTATCCCCTGCTTCTTCCAGGGATCTTCCGTCTCCCATGTAGGGAGATATATATTAGAGGGTGGTTTATTCCATTAGCCAGGAAGCATAAAGGGAAACAGCAGCTTATCAAAGAGCTTGGCAAGTCCCCCAGATGGTTCCGAAGGCTCTCAAGCAGATGCGCTGGCTCTTGTGCCCGCTTGTTCTTAGGCAGAAAGGTGCTAAGCTAAACCTGCTAGGTGCTTGTCTCGAAGCCGATGACGTCTCGTTTTTGTCTTCATTTTAATTTCTTGTTATACTTCCTTACCAGGTAGAACAGAGGGGCAGACCTGCCTTTGCTGGTATCAGGGTTTTTTTACCAGACCATTTTGGTTTAATCTGTTTGGGGGGTGTCTTTGTTAGGGAAAGTGTTTCTGTCCCCTGCGAGTTCACTGGCTTATGAGAGCTGAGGCTGTTATGGAAAGTTTTAGTGTAAAGGGGGGATTCTCTCAAGGGCAGTGCTCAAGCCTGGGGAAAACGCAGCTGTCTGAAAACGCTTTATGGGTAAATAACACTGAATGTATAGCAGGATATATTTAGATCATGCTTGGCTGTGTCTCATAGGAGATACTGTTTTCTTGTATGTCTGTACCAGCATACATGAAATCTGTTGTCATCCTTTCTGTAAGAAATCACTGAGGAGAAACCAATTTCTGAGAAATTGTCCTGAAGGGAAGTGCTCACTGTGTTTTGCCAACTCGGAATCAATCTTATGTTGATAATAACTGGTTTTAGCTGTAATATCTCAACTTTCCAAAAGCAATTTCTGAGAGAAACTGAATGCGGCTCTAGCTAAAAGTGTAACAAAAACAAAGAATGAGTTGGTAAGGACTTTTTTTGTTGTCTTTTAAGTTTGAAATGAATGGAAAGTGGATTTAGCATTAAAATAACTTACATAAATGAAATACTTGTGTTTTTTGTAGATGTTTAGGAATGAAAGTTATGTTGTCTTTTGAATAAAAGAATGCCTTTGCCATTGTGGGAAAATGTTGTTACATGGAGGTGGTTGGTATTTTAATAGTATATTATTTAGGAAATTGAGAAGAAAATGCACCATTTTATAATACACGTCCAGCAATTGTAGAATTGGGATTATATTTCACTGTAAAACTATGACTAAATGTTTTTGTTTTAAATAAGCATCTTTTCTTTTTTTCAGGAAATTTGGAGAGCGACCTCAACCCAAGCGTCTCACTAGGTAAGCATTGAAGTATTTTAATTTTTATCAATTTCATAAACATACCCTTTTCATCTGCAAAAGAATTTCAAAGATAGATAAAAAATTATGGGCTGCTAATTCTAGAGTGTTAAATTTTTTAAATTACAGTTTTTGTAAGCAATGAGCAAGAAGCAAAACTCTGAACAATGACTTTTAATATGAATTTCAAAATGCCAGGTTTGAAATTGTATTTGTGTCATATATCTGTTGTTGTGTATTATTCAAGAGTGTGAATCTGGTTAGGTTTAAATCCCCAGAGATGAGTCAGATTTATTTTCTTGAGCAAAAGGGGCTTGTGAAGTCATGTCAAACAGCATTCCTTCCTGGCAAATTTCAGCTGCTTTGTTAGTGCTATCGTGCTGCAGTTAAGAGCAAAATTAACATGGTCTTGTCAAAGAATGATCTTAATTAGATTTTGATGAAGGTTAAACAGTCGGGGATAATGTCACATGGTACCATTAAGGCAGTCCAGCCTGAAAAGTGTGTAGGAGGAGCGCAGAGAGCGGCCCTGAGTTGTTCCCGTGCCATCTTGCAAGCGTTTATAACAAGTGTTGTTGAATAGTTGTCTTTTTCGAATTATTGTGCTGCCTTCAGCACAAGTAGTTATTGTTTTATATCATAGGCTGTGTGCTGATTATAAGCAACTACTGGGTTTAAATCCTGTTTACTGGAAGTACAAAAAATCTGCAGTCTTTTTTACACTCCTGTATGGCAATAACACTATATAAAAGCTCAGACACCAATTGCTGCTCTAGCCGCCTTCGGTCCTGAATGCAGGTGTGATCCTTCACAGAAGCCATCAGGAAAAAAGCATCTGTGTTTGTGGCAGGGTATTTGTCTCAATGCCTTTCTGGCTGAGTATGACACTTGCATTTCAATGCAATCTATACTGACTTACAAGTGATTAAATGAATGTAGTGCTTTCCCATGGACTTGCTTATTTTCTGGGTTATTTCAAGAAATTAAGCTTTAAGTCATGGGATTTTTTGCTTTTTGAGCTGTACCACCTGTTAGCATCCCCCTCAAGTTGCTAATTTGCAATCTCTGATTTAAAGACAACGATGACAAAAATTAAAGATCATTTAGTAAAATCTTGGCATGAACAGTTGTGTTCTAATAAGAAGTTCATCGTGCAAGCTCTGGAAAACTTGCTCGTGTGTTTTCCCGAGAAAATAATCCAGCTTTCTTTGTTGTTGTTGCTGTTGCTCAACATCCTTGAAAGAATAAAACTATTCACAACTTTACTCATGGTCTTACTTGTTTTTTACACTAAAATGTAAACTATAATAGTGCTATTTTTGAAAAATGGGGGCGGGGGGCTTTCTGGAGGAGGATGTCACAGTCCTAGATTGTCCCAAGAGTGAGTCCCCTGTAGCCACTGGGCTGCGGAAAAGGCCCAAATTCTTTGTGATATATTAGCTAGCACCACACTGTTATTACAGGTGGAGGGGCTGCTGGGTTTGGGGTAGTTTTTCTTTATTTTTAATATTAGTTGGATTGGGAAAAGCATTTAGTAAACAGGTGTTAATGGAGTATTTCAAGTTACAAGCTTGGATATAAAAAGTTTTAAACCTAATTAAAAGCAGTTAACGCATGCCATAATGAAGTGCACTGTAATAACTTCACAGTGAACTGTGCTTAGATATTGTCATTTAAAATGTACTCTTAAGCAGAGACACCGAAGAAAGCCTGTATACGCACTTTGAGATGGTTCTTACATCCATGCTTCCATGCTTAGACATACATGTCCCCAAATATCAGCCAAATGTAAATATAGCGAGTGAAGCCAAATTTGAAACAGCTTTCAGGTCGACTTTGTCTGCTCTTGTATCCTGCTTGTTTGTACTGCTATGCAGGCAAGTCAAACGTAAGAAGTTAGGAAGCACTTTTAACAAAGTGGGGTTTTCCCCTAGCCCCCTGCTCTGGGAACCTGTATCAGGGAAATTTGGGAATCAACGAAATGTTGCTTATATCTTGCATCTTTTCTCACCGGAAACATTTCTCTAAGAAGCCAAAGCACAAGTTTATTTTGGTGTTCTTGGTCTGTCCGAAGGGAATTCAACAGCTGCGTGCAGTTCACCAAAAATTCCTGCTCTGCAGTTTCAGCACTTCATATAACTTCCTGTCACACTTGGGATTTGTTTCTCTGGTTGGTGGCTCTAAAGATGAGTTGGCTGGTGTCACTTAGGCTTTTGACCTGCAAAAGCTCTGCCTCGCACTTACAGGTGCTACTGTGCGCTCTAGGGCGGCTAAAGCCCCAGAGGTGGAATTTGGCAGGCTGCTTAATGGCCAGTTAGGTTGTTGCACCCAGGAATGAGAGGATTTCTCTCGAGGAATGGCTCTTGGTGTCTCTGAGGTGATCGCAGTTTTTACCTCTCTTCTGTTGTTACAGTTGTGAGGAAGGAAGTGAAATCTGAAATTTTTTTACCTGCCTAGTGCGGGAAAGAGAAAGATTGGAAAAACAGACCAATAGACTTCTGAAGGATTAAACTTCAAAGGAAAACTCCTGAAAACATGAATCTGTTAATTCATTGATTTCATTAATAAAAACAGGAAAAAAAGCTGAACTATTTGTCTTCACTAATATGGGAACTGAACTATTGATGGGGGAGATGAAATTGAATTAATGAAGTATCTAATGAAATATTGGTAACACAGAGCTTTGTAAAATCAGATGTGGTGTGTGGATGGGCATTGAAATGAACATCAGCATAATTTTTATATTTCATCCTCTGCTTCGGAAAATGTAGTAATGATGGTAGATGGCCAAAGACCACCGCAAGTTCAATATGAGATTATTATTTTCTTTTTTTTTCACTGTACAGTTGACTTAGGAAATAATGCAAGGTTATTTTGACCCTATTAGTATATACGCTGGCAGTCTCTCTCTGCCCCCATCCCCATTTCAATTATATTTGTTTTTCTAAAGCTCTCTGCTTTATTATGAATATAAACCAAAAAGAGCTCCAAAACTTACTTTGTCTTTTAACTTTTAGGGAAGCAATGCGAAATTACCTGAAGGAGCGAGGTGATCAAACAGTGCTAATACTGCATGCGAAAGTTGCGCAGAAATCATATGGAAATGAAAAAAGGTAAATTTCTTTCCCTGTCTTCTTCCACTGATCCCAGCTGGGGGAACAAAACATAGTGTGTATTTTGGTGCATAATAGTGAAGTTTCTCAGACTATATTATTGTCAAATGGTGCTGTGGGTGTTTTCATGTATGGATGTTAGGTGGTTCTTGTACCGTTGCTTTCCTAAAAGAAGAATAGGGGAGCTTAAGCTAGATGCCCTTCCTCACATCGCATTGCAGAAGTGGAATTTTACTGTTCTTCACTTTTATGTGTATCCTACTAGACCATTATGCCTTTAACAGTTCTCAGAAGTTCATTTTTATCTTGAAACTGTTACAACACAGGACTCCATCAAAAATAAGCCTGAAAATTTTTCAGTTTGATGCTACCAGACAAATAACTTTCTAATGCTTCTGAATTATGGAGATGCACACTGTATTTTTAACTGTTTGGATTCCATTCATTATTCTGTCTCTGAGTTTTGGTCTTTCAGTGTGTTTCTTCTTCCACGATAGCCAGTGTCTAAAGTCGTTTCTTTTGGGCAGTGTCCATATTCAGCTCCACTGAATTGTTTACTCAAAAGTGCTTTTTTAGATCTCTTCGAAATTCTTGATGATACAGAAATGTGAAATCACTGATAAATGAAGGATATGAAAGCAAGACAAAAAAAAAAAGTGTATTGTGTGTATGTGTGGGAGATATTCCTCTCTACAGTGCTCTGTAAATTACACTTTCAACCTATTTCAATAAGCTCCCCAGCCAAAAAAGACTTACCCTGACTGTATAGGAACCTCTGGTTGCTATCTTTGCCGACTGTGTAGCATAGTTAATGCTCGCTGCAGATGAATTAAACATGTTACTGCTGAAAAAATGAGGTGTCCCTGTAGAGAGAAGTGAATTTCTGCATAGTTTGAGAGTAAGTTCAGTAAGTTCCCCCCCCCCCTCCCCCCGCCGTGGCCAGAGCAGTGCATGTGGATAGGAACATATTCTGCAGACCTGCTCAGTATCTCGGTTTTTTGGAAAACAGATTGCATTAATAGAAGGGAGAAAATACAGAGATAACTTTTGTTGTTTTGATTCTTAAAATTTCCATTACTGCTGAGAAGATTCGCAGAAGTGTTGTGAAGAATACGGATTAATCCTTTAAACTGTTACTCATTAGCAGTTTCTGAAAGCTCCTGTGTGCACTTAAAAGCCAGCATGGCCATAAATTCTTACTGCCTTGAATGTGCCTGTGCACTTTCCTTGATCCCCTTACAAAACACTTTTAGTATTGAGCTCTCGAGTACTGATAACCTTCTGTGAGCCGGTAACTGGTGTCTCCCTGCATAGCAAGACTGCTGAGTAGTACTAGGCTTAGTAACTAGTTAAATAACTAGTCCTGTTACTCTGGACTTCATGAGGGTTCTTCTACTAACTTGATCTAGCTTCATGAAACTTAGCTTCTCTTCTCAGACTGCATCAAGTTGACGTTTTATTTTGTTTTCATATTGCTGTTTTATTCATAGCAAAACAGACCTTTGATCTTCCACATTGGACTCAAAGGTAGGAAAGACTTAAGGCTGTCTTATAGAATTGGTCAACTAATTTCTTGCTCTTTTTTGTATTCAGTAGCTTTTCTGAAGATCAGTGTCTTCTATACAGCACTATTGCTCTAGAGTCTATTTCATATTTATTTTTATGGAACGATATCTCTTCATATTTTTACAGGGTTACAGTAGAACATTTATATAATTAATTTTGATCCGTACAAAATAAGTTATGTTATACTGTCTTTATAAATAAAACTTGTAATTGCAAAAGGACTTTCAGCAGTTAACTTGCAGTTAAATATAGAAGCTCAAAAAACCCTCTGTCTTCTATTCCACTCTTTAAACTTTGTTGTAAGGTCATGGAAAATATTTATCATTAACAAGCTTTGCATAGCAAAATTGGAAGTTAGGCATAATAAGTACTTTTTGGAGTTTTGCTTCACAAGTCTTATTTTATGCTCTGGTTTAAATATGGTTCATAGGAGGAGACTTTAAGGTTGTTGTCAAGTGGAGACTTTCTCTGTTGGTTTGATGGTGTTTCTGAAATGCCGCGTACTAGTACAGTGTTGACTTCCTCCTCCCTTGAATGGGCCCTTCTTGTTAGCTTTTCATAAAGCCAGTACTGTTAAATTTAACAGAAGAACTTGGGAGATGAGAAGCTTAATACTCTGCGTTTTGATCCGGAGTTCAGGTCTTACCGTCTGACGCCTCCTGTTGAGTGGCTGTCATCTGTCAGGGACATTCAGGTAATGGGGGCTAATGGCTCAGGTGATGTTCAGCCCTAATGAACATGGGCCTTGGGCTTGTTGTGTGTTTTCCATTCACAGAGATGTGTCTCTGCAGAATCTCCCAGCCTCAGTGGAAGGGACACCATTTGAACAGTGTGAATATTCAACTGTTTGAAGGGCTGAAGTATTGTGGATGCCAGGATGGAGCTGGTGATAGAACGTGAGCCTGAGTGGTGCTTGCAAAGTATTATCTATCCTGAGCTTCAGCCTCTGCCAGCAGGGTGTTGCAGCTGCGTTTGGTTTTAGAGCTCTTAGTGAAGGAGCCTCTGTAGTTTCTGCCCCAGCACCTCTCTGGGCCACGCTTATCGACCTCTTTGAGTGCATTGCCTTTTCCAGGGCATGCCATGGGGCTCCCCTGCTTTCCCCTTAGCACTGCAGCACTTTATTGTTCCTCATTAGTTTCTTGTGTTACACTCTTCAGTGGATGTTGTTGGTTTCTACAGCACCTAAGAAGGAAAGACAACTGTTGAGGGGTTCATGCCCTGAACTCTGTGGATAATGGGGAGATCTCCTGCCCTGACCAACAGACGGAAAGGAGAACACCTTACCTGCTGCTGTCACCCTGAACAGAAAGAGAGTAAGGTGGTAGATGCCGCTAAGTGAAGGCAAAGATTTGTTTTTTAATGAAGAACAATGCTGCAAATGAGGCTGAAGACTCAGCCTGTTCCACCTTCTCTTCCTGCAGTCAGGATGATGGAGTCACTAAAACGAACACACAATAAATTTTCTTGCTCTTCCCCTGAAGTCACTTGGAATGAGGGGGAGCGTCTTTAGACAAACCTGAGCTTGATGTTCCTGCCATGGAAAAGTGTTCCAGGCTAATGGAAAGCCGTGTCAGAATAGACAGATTAACAGTTTGGTCCCATTTATTGTACTGAGTTACTGCTTTTGTGCCTCTTAAAAGGATCAGTAGGAAAAGGATAGGGATGACCTTTATGTTGGAGATAGAACCCCTGCCCTTTCCATGAATGATGCCATTCCCAATATTATCTTCTTTTTTTCAATCAATAACATTGGAAGCTTTTTTTTTTCTTTTCTTTCTTTTTTTTTTTTTTTTTTTTTTTTTTTTTTTTTTTTTTTTTTTTTTTTTTTTTGGTCTTTTTTTCTTCTTAGCCGGCCTCTCTCATAGTACATTCCTTTTTATATGGAAATTATTTATTAATTAGAAAAACTAATTATGTCAGTTATTACTTATAGATCAGATTTTTCAGTCTTCTGTGAAAAGTAGTAGTCTGTGGAGCCTCATGACTTGTTCACATTATACTGGATAGAAAAGTTAAACACGTGTATATTATATCCAGGGATTGTAAATATGAAGTAAAAAGCCACCAAACTATTCTTGTCTATAACTGAAGACTGAATGAGAGGCTGATCCTTCAGAAAACCCATCGCAATTGTGACCATCCAGATAGTTCCCTCTTCTTGACAGTTTTAACCAAACTTAAAAATTCTCTAAGTTGTAAAATGTTCTTTCTTACTTCATGATTCATAGTTTTCCAGTGTTTTTCCTATGTATTTTAATTTTAAAGGAGCATTTTAGCTTCTTTCCGCGAATGGGTTAAAGCCTGTTTCTTGTAGGTCTTTATTGCCATCTAGAGGTTGTAGTTGTTCAAAGGACTACACTTACACCTGAGCTGGGTTGGAAGTGAAGAAGACTTGTATTGAAAAAGACTTGAAAGTTTTAATTGTGTTCTAGCCAGTAAGATAAATACAGGAGAGAGAAAAGTAAGCTGAGTGTGTGATTAGCTTTACTGTGCAGTGGCTCATTGAAAAGCAGAGCTTGAAACGTTTGGCCTTCTTTTGGTTTAGTTTGATTTTTATTTTGTTTTGTATTTGCTAAGGATTGTCCCGTTAATAAACATTGATACTCATTTTTAATTTTTCTTAACGGGAAATAGCTTATAGTTGCTGATAAGGAAATTATCAAATGCTTCTAGTAAAACTGTTCTGCCTGAAGGGATCGGGCACTGTCTTTGAGAGTTGAGAAGTTGACTAGCTGTGGGATGCTCTCTTCTGGTGGCTTGCGTGTGTTTCCAGAACCTGGTTAGCTGACTAATGTATCTATACTTCAGTTGGGGGGGGGGGGAACCTACATCTTTCTAAATGTAGTTATACTTCATAGCTAGTTCATAAATTTTGTAGTTCAGTTCATAGTTTTAATCATAAGATTGTGTTATGTGCGTCAGAAACACGGCATCTGCCGCCCTCTTCCTGAGATGTGGAGGTAGGTAGGTCTCTTAAGCAGAACACGGGCAGGCTCGTTGTCCTCCCTTGCTGATCTAAGAAAAAATCTTCCCATCTTTGTATATCTATATATAGTTTTTAAATGTTTAGGTCAAAATTGTCTACAACCAAAAATTCCTCAGTGCAGTGCTAAAGCTGTTATTTCTTACTTGGTTCTGTAATTCTCTTTTGTTTGAAACACATTGGAAATTACAACAAGCAGTAGATGAGCCTTACAATAGATTTTTAGTTTAGATATAATATGTCTAGATATTGGGTGATACATGAAGAATAAATCACACCATATGGAAAGTAAGTTCTTGTATGTGTTCTTATGGCTTTGACCTTTGTCATCTTAAGATGATCTTTTAAGGCAAAGAAGCATCTGAAGCATAATTAGATCATGCGGTCTGCACTAATCTGATGTATGAAATAAATACAATTGAGAACTAGAAAATACATTCCTGTTTCTCAGATCAAACCTTTGAGAGAGGAAGGTTGTAGATCACAGGTAAAAGAAATCCAGCCATGATCATTAATATGCCACTGTTGGTGCGTTCTGCATCTTTATGAAGCAAACTGAAACAGATGTCAAGTAGCAGAAGATAAGGAGCAAAAGACAGAATAGTAAACCAAATAATAATATACCATGTGTGCTGTTTGATAACGTTAGTTATTAATGCTTACTTCTCTCCTATCTGTGAATTTCAAACTTGAGAACCTTAGTTCCAACATCAGTAAGGTTGGAATAATCCATCCTATGTCCAATAGCTAATTTTCATCTTTGTGGGCCATGGCTTAGCCTCTGAATGTGCAGTGCTCTTGCACTATACTCAGAAGTCTAAAATATTATATTTGAGATACTTTACTGTGTAGTTGCTCAGGTTGACAGTTCAATAAAGAAACATCTGCTTTGAAAATCAGTTCAGTCCATTTCTACCTGGCTCTCTGTGTTCTCCACTTTACAATTGCAAAAAATTAATTCCAGACCTTCCTATGGCCCGTAATTCCCTCAAAGAATAAAATACAAATAGTCAAAACTGATGAAATAAGCATGTGAAAAGTATTCATAGTTGAACTTTGGATTAGTTTATTTCTACAAGTAGCTTCCATTAATTCATAGTTACGTATTTATCAAAATTTCTATGCTCCTGAAAGGAGCAGAAGGAATAAGTACTACATTTTTTGATACATACTTTTTTTCCTGAAAGGGCAAGCTAGATTTTTTTAATATCATTTTATATTTGTTAAGGGTTTTTTTTAAATATTTCATAAAAATAACTTCATGAACTAATTCAATGCAATTACCCAAATTCAATGCAGTTACCAAGCATGCATCTCATTTGACCTCACGACTTAAAATTTTTACTAATTCTTCTCTGTAGGGGATGGTTTTTTCAAACCACAGAATGATGCTTTTGAAAAACTTCTGTAGATATTTAAGCTGTATATATACATACTTTATTCTGGATAGTTACCATAACCATTGAAACATTCTGAATTGTAATAAAACTTTTAAAATTTACTTCTTGGCTTAGCTACCAAGGAATATATATTAATGCTACATGATTAACTGAAATGACTGCAAAACTTTGGATTTATTTAGATTCCAAGTACTTAAACATATTGCTATGTTAACCTATTAGCTAGGTTAATCTATTTACATTTATGTTTTTTTAAGTGTTTTAAAGTTAATTGTACTGAATAAATGAGCTAGTGTTTAAAACTTGTTTTTGATAATCGAGCTGACTTATACTAATGAAAGCTAATTCAGTATTTAATAATACATGTAATCCGTTAATTCAGTTGTCTCATCTATAAGAATAATGTAGGAGTTCACTTGGGATATTAGCTTTACCAATGGTTGGTTTAATTGTGGCTAAACCCCCAAACGGTTAGAATTTACCTTTTAGTACCTACCTAGTCAGTAGATGGATTTCAGTCAGTGCTGCTAGAGAGCAAATCATGTCCTTTGCAGTTATTGGTGAAGATGTAAAATCGTTTATTTATAAAAGAGATTTAGGTTTGGGCAGAATAGGGAGCTTCTCTTTGCTAATGCTGATGCACTAAATATTTAGAAACTGTAGTCAACGGTTGCGCATTAAAACAGTTTGTGGAGCTACTCCTGCAGGAAGAATTGCATCCTGTTGACCGCTTGCATGAGCACAGTGTGTCATCACTTCTTAAGGTGAAACATTGTCATTTTAGAGAGATGCGGACCGTTAGTTATCATATTGAATGGGAAAGGTGATCCGAGGTAATGAACCTAATGCTATTTTTGCTTTTTTCCCTGCTTCTGACTCGCATTTTAGAAAACCTTCGAGACAAGTGAAGGTTATGTATTTATAAACTGGAATGCAAAATATAAACCACCAAGAAAGCTTTGGGTATGCAACAGTTTGTGTCTGAATATTTTTTCTTAAAAGTTGTGTGTAATCTCATCATGCATCTTTCTTTTTAAGGTTCTTTTGTCCTCCTCCATGTGTATATCTCATGGGTAGTGGATGGAAGAAAAAAAAAGAGCAGATGGAAAGAGATGGTTGCACTGAGCAAGAATCCCAACCTTGCGCCTTCATTGGAATAGGAAACAGTGACCAAGAAATGCAGCAGCTGAACTTGGAAGGAAAGGTAATTTCAAATTACTCTAAAGGATATTAGAACTGTATGATGTATCTGTCAAGGATTGTCCTGATTTTTATTGATACCTTCTGGCAGATAATCTACCTAAGTGATTAGGAAAAAAAACCTGAAAAACTCAAAAATACATAGGACAGCATGAATCAGTGAACCCAATGGTTCCTGGGATCCCAATAGGATAGTAACTTTTAATTCCATGTTCCTGATCCTGAGTCAGTAAACTGTTAATTTATTTGCTAGGCATCAGAGATTAACTGAAGCACAGTTGCTATCTCAAATTGTTTTCATTTGTCCTGTGCCCATCTCACTGGTTTATATGAATGGGTTATCTTCTCAAGGAAGTATCTGAACAGCATCTGTTGCTAGAGGTAGATTTTAAGTCCATTTGCTTCATAATACTAAAAATTAAGCATTTGAGTAGATTTAGTAGATTTTTTTGTTTACGGTGCTGTCAATTGCTACCGTTTTAAAGGATACTTCTAATATCAGTGAAACTAGTTGGAATAAAACTGGCAGCGTGGAGGTGCCCGTTTTGGCTGGTGACTTAATAACCAGTGTTAGGTAGCTATGCAGTATTTGTAGCACAGGTTTCTCAGAAATGTCCTATCTCGCTGAAGGTTTTTTCGAGTGTATAATAGACTCTGCCTGAGTTTACTGGCTTCGCCACGTAGGGCTGCCATGGCAGCTAGTGACGCAATCACTGCAGATGAGGTGATTTTGGTCTGAACAAGGTTGTTACCAAGTGATTTTCTCAGGGTGCTCGTGCCATGTATACCTCTTAGTTTACACATGTGATTTTGCAGGATCGTGCTGAAGATGGTGGGTTTTAGCATTTTTGGTGTAACTTCCCAGAAGCCTGCTTAGTGTAGAACCAAGATAAACACCCATTTTGTGCAATTTCTGAATGCTCGGTCCTTAAAATTAATGGTAAGGGAAGTTCCTTTTGAGATACCTAAGCCTCTGTTGTCATTTAGCTTAAACATTTCACCATGAGTAGCTTTTTGGTGTTTCAAAACCCCATCTCCTCTCCTCCCTTCTTGAAAGGTTTGGCTCAAACAGAGTTTTGGGGCAGGCAGCCTTTTGTGCATACCCACTGTATTACCTATACAGCCATACTTAAAATATTTTTACTAGTACCCTGCCCTGCTCAGGCCTTACTTTGTTATACCTATAGTCCCCATTCATCTGCTTTCCAGTCATAGCAGAGTCTGTAGAAAGAATTTAAAGTACTGAAGTCATTCACAAAACTAAACAGTAGTACATATGTAAAGGGCTCCATATCAATTAGAAGACATAATTTAAGTTGTAGTGGTAAGAGATGGTGAAAACATTTTTTAAAAGTGATTTTGGAAATTCCCTCTTGTTCATAATTAAATGTATGTAGGCTCTTGAACTCATTTGATTTGAAAAAAGAAACAATAGTGTGTTTTTGCCTACAGAACTATTGCACAGCCAAAACGTTGTACATATCTGACTCAGACAAGAGAAAGCACTTCATGTTATCAGTAAAAATGTTTTATGGCAATAGTGACGACATTGGTGTGTTCCTCAGTAAACGGATCAAAGTCATCTCCAAACCTTCTAAAAAGAAACAGTCACTGAAAAATGCAGACTGTAAGTATTTGTGTTGTAGTTTTTCTTCTTTATGTAGCAATTAATTTGCCTCTTGTTCCTTTTTTGTTGCATACTCTGAGAACTGACTAAAAGTAAATGTAATAAAAATCTACTTTCTAGTATCTCTTAATGTACTTCAGAAGTCTTTGCTCTGTTTTGAAGTGTTTCAATTTAAAGAGATTATACTGTCTGTGAGTTTTATGCAGTCAAACTTAGTTACTTGGTAAATGTGAAGGTTCATCAGAATTTTTTATTGTCAAGAGTGAATCTGTGTAGACAAATATGTCAAAAATGTTTCATCTCCACAGTCTAAGGTGCTGGGTCTCTCAAGCTGCCATGATGTGGTGTCTAGAATGTCTTGATCAATAGCAAAGGAAGGGCTTTTAAGTTGATAAATGAGTATCACTGTTACCAAACTGCACTTTTTCACATCACATTCAGCTTCATACTGTCTCATGCCATTTTTCGTGTTGATTTGATTTTTAATTTCTCTTGCACGTTCGCTTTTGAGTAATGGGTTAAGAAATCTGTTGAGTGCAGTTTCACACAGATTTCTCTGCTTACCCTCTTTGCCATCTAAAGATATTTCTGGTGCTAATGTACGACTGGGAGCATTGTTACTCTTCCTCCCAAGTTTTTGCCTGTGTTCCACTGGAGCACTTCCAGAGTTGCCCTCTTTTGTTTTTTTATTGTCAGTAGTGCTCTGAGAGACTCTTTGGTCAGTGCTAGGCTGGAACCTATGCACCCATGGGAGGTGGTGGAGCTCCGGGCTGCTCGCTTGCAGCGTGGCTTGCAGCAGCCTCTTGCTGTGCAGCCCCTGCCCGTGGGCTCACGCTGTGCACTGTTGACTTTGTATTCAGACAGTTTTGATGGGCAGTAAATATGAGCCAAGTAGAAGAAACATGCCCGTTTTGATGACAAAATCATAGGTAAGCTGAATTTTTTTTAGGGGAGCAGACCTAGATTTTCTCCCTCTTGAATGAACTTATTAATAAAATAAGTTCAGATCTGAGAAAAATTCACGTTGCCTGGTTACAATTTTATATAGTTATGTCTGTCTTCCCTTCAATTGACTATGATTTGTAAGAATAATTTTTCCATATATCTCAAATAAAATGATCACTAGAAGTAGCCCACATACATCCCAGGAATTACTTCTTGATTTCCCTCATTCATCATTTCACTGTATTTGTGACTTTTTGTTGCATCTCTGTGTAATAATGAAGTAATTGTATAATCTCAAGTCTGTATGTATTCCTTGCAGTATGTATTGCATCAGGGACAAAAGTGGCACTATTTAATAGACTTCGATCCCAAACAGTTAGCACCAGATATTTGCACGTAGAAGGCGGTAATTTCCATGCCAGTTCACAACAGTGGGGAGCATTTTACATTCACCTCTGTAAGTAAAAACTGAAACTGTATTTTCTTTCTCACCTCCCTCCTTCCATCCCCACAAAGAAAGTCTTGCATTTTTCCTCCTTATAAATTGCCCAAGTAGAGATTTATTTTGTTACTGGGTGCATGTTTCATGTATTAGAGCACTGTTAAATGTTCCTCCTAGCAAGAGAGACATGTTTTAAAACAAATAATGTGGAATTCCTATTTCATGCAGTGGATGATGATGAATCAGAAGGAGAAGAGTTCACAGTGAGAGATGGCTACATTCATTACGGGCAGACTGTCAAACTTGTATGCTCAGTTACTGGCATGGCACTCCCAAGACTGGTACAGTTTAATTTCTCCAATGCTGTAATTAATTTGTAGCTTGCTACTTAGCATAATTACGTAGTTGAGTTTGCATTCTTTATAAGTTTTGGCTTCATGTGTTTCCTTTTGATGTGTGCTTTATATGGAAAAGGGCATTCGTTTTGACAAGGGCTTATTTTTCACATTAGATCTGCAAATGAATCATGTCAGTGACAAGCAATTTATAAAGTAAACACAGGTAAATTCTAAAAATTCAAGCTTTGGCCAAAGTAAGTTGCTCTGAAGGCTCTTTTTAACAAAGTGTAAGTCCTAAAAGTAGACATGGTTTTGCATTTCCCAGTGTAGCAAAATAAATACGTGTATTAAACAGGTGAGCAGTTTCCTGGCAGTCAGTAGGACTGCTCTATTTGTTAAGAGTTTAGCGCCATTTAAAAAAATCCTTTATAGACTGAAACTAAAAGCACTTCAGTGTGCTCCTAAAGATAAATAATTATACCAGTATTGTGCGGAAACATGTTGGACCTTTACTCATGTTGTGTAAATGCGTAGCATTGTAATTGCATCTTGGATAACATTGGGAAAAAAAAATTTTTTTGAACTGATTTCTTTTTTTGTCACAGATAGAAAACTGTTTAGAAGCACTTAAGGTTCACGAACCAAAAAAAAAAAAAGAAAAAAAAAATACTGGTGGATACATATGCAACCAATATGTATAGGTAGATTTAGCTTAAACTAAGTCAAGCTAAAGTTTCCTGTTGTGTTTGCTATTTGGAACATGTGTCGTGCTGCCTTCAAGACAGACTGAAGGTGACATGATTTAAAGGTAACTTGCAGACTTTTTATAGGTTGATACGAAGAACTTTGAAGAAACAAGTTAACCTTGAAAATTATATTGCTAATAATGCCATTTATTATCATTAGAAATCCCAGAGGACATGGTTGGCTTTCTGATTGTCGGCTTAGAAATCTTCAAGCACTATGGCTGCTGCTTCTGCTGATGTTGCATAAAATGAAGTATTAACTTTTTTCTAGAAGTTGAGTTAAAATTCCAAGCTACAGATTTCCACTGTCTGTAAGGGAATAACTTTTTTAATTTTTAAAAATAAAATAATTGTAACAGCTTTGAATTAAGACAGCAGATATTTTTGCATTGAACTCACTGATGTAAGGAATGATTGTTCTTTGCAGTTGTCTTTAAGTAACATTTAATGACGAACTCTCATTTGATGCACTATGATTGTTGTGCTTGCCAAATTATTCTTAAGGACATTGGAATAATTATAAAGTAATTCTTATTTTTGGCTACTTTAGTTCAGCAACCAGTCTGCCACTGTCAGTTCTTAATGCTATCAATAGTGGAAGCGTGTGCTTCTGTGAAAGGTTTTTAGTACTTGACCTACTGCTGTTTTGTATCAGGAAAAGAAACATAAGTAGATTTAGCATGGACTTTTTTCCCCACTCTCATAGAAAACAATATAAAATATATATGCATGCAGCACCTATTACATTGAAGTTATAGTACCAAGCATCATTTTCATGTTGTACTTTTGTTCTCAGAAGTATTAGAAATTATCAATCAAATGTTAGTATTAGAAGAGCAAGGTATTAAGTTAAGAATATGACCTTTTACTTCCTTTGCTAACATTATGTATGTAATCTCCAGTGTACTGGGAAGCAGGAGTTCTCCTAACTGTGTACATGCAATTCTCATTCACAGATAATTCGAAAAGTGGATAAACAGACAGCGTTATTAGACGCAGATGATCCAGTATCACAGCTCCATAAATGTGCATTCTACCTTAAAGACACTGAGAGAATGTATTTGTGCCTTTCCCAGGAGAGAATAATCCAATTTCAAGTAAGTTGTTTAGCCCATTCTGCTAGATGAGAAGTAGGGTTGCAGCCTTTCCAAATAATCCCAGAATGTCACTTGTGTGATTGTTTTTGAATGTGATTCTATTATTTAGTTTGAAAATACAAAGGATGAAAAGTAATGTCTTGTTTCAGATAGGCTTTTTCTTCCTCATATCCCTTTTGCAGACCTGTATAGACAGTGAATTTGTATTTTATCCCCTCATGCCTGCTTGACTGAACAAGTTGACATGCTCCAGTAAAGCTCTACTTATTATGAGAGTGTCTGTTCCTAACTTACAGAAAATAAGAAATGATAGGACTCAGGATATTTTGTCTTTAGGAACTCAGCAATGCACTGTCTTGCTCATGGCTCAAGAACATAAGTAGCATAGGAAGCTTCTAGGGTAATAAAGATAGGAATGGTAGGAAAAGGGGCAACCTAACCTTTTTAAGATTCCCCTCAATTGAAGGGAAAAGACTAGTGCCCATGTATAGCAGACAGATACCTAGCAGATACTTCCTCATAATGGGCAAAGGCCCTTGTCAGAACAGAAAGAAGCAGGAATTGCAGTGACTGAGAATCAGCCTTGCACTTCGGTCTTTCTCAGGCTACTTGTTGGGGATGAGCTGAATGAAGAAGCAACTCCTTCTCTAAGAGCCTGTTCAGCATCCTGGAAATGCTTGTGCTAGTCAGGGACATCCTGACACTCCTCAGTTTGAGCATCGCTCATGGAGCTCAGTCTGACAACAGAGATGAATGTTCTACAGGGCAGGGCTAGCCTAAAAGGCCGAGGACACCCACTTCTGAATTTCTTTAGTAGCATAGGAGAAGCAAGGCTACCATTTGCTTCCTGGATGAGTAAAATCAGCCAAACTTGCCATTTTCGCCCTTTAATAAGTGAGAAAACTGCAGACAGTAAACACTACCTGCCAGTGTCAGCAGAGAGGTCCCATTTTATCCGTTTCTTCCTTTGAACCATAAGACCAGAATCAAGGAAGCAGGCACGTGTGTCATCTTTTGCTGCCCTCTGCTGCATGCTTACAGCTGAATGCGAGATCTAGGAGAAGGGACTGAGCTGTGATCTGAGTAAAAAGCCAGATTTTTTCTTGGGTTTATGGAAATAGCTGAGTATAGAGAAATTAGAAGGTTAAAGAGGAGTGTGACCAAGTCAGGATGAACCTATGTGAAAATTGAACCTTCCAAAGTACCACGCGGATCTCTTTCTAAAGATGGTCCTATATTCTGGAGAACGTAGTAAGAATAGAAATAATGCCTTACTGGATCAGAACCATAGTCCATGTCTAGCCCAACATCTATTTCTAACAATAGCTGTAGGAGATGCTGTCTAGAGAGAGCAGGCAAACCCTGCTCACTTTCTGTAGCCTATTCCCCTTGTGCTTGCCAGCATCCACATTTGTTGTATTAGGGATGCTCCTGGCTCTACCTTTCAGTATCAGTTTGTAGTCATACAGTTCATTAGTGTGTTGGGTTCCTTTGGAATGTGCTGGTGCTTTCTCTGCAACCTCATGTGGCAGTAAGTTTCAGAGATTTCCTATGCTCAGTGTAGAGAGCTTTAGTTGCATGTGTCGTGAATAAACTTATTGTTTCTCCATGGCATTCCTAGTTACAGGATTTGGTAATAGTTCTGCATTCACATTGTCTGTTATCATCTTAATTTTTTTTATCTGCAAATTGGAATCTTGGTCATCTTAATTTCTTCTCCCAAGACCAGCAGCTCCAAGTCCTTGATGATTTTAGAAGCCCTTCCCTGCATGCAGAATTGCATGCTGCTGTAGAAATGGGTTAGCCAAGGTTGTGCAATGGCAAGTTAATGTCTGATACCTTATTCTGCTTTTCTGATGGTGCCCAAAATTGTGTTGACTTTTTAGGTTGCCACTGCACATCAAGCTGGTGATTTAGAAAAACTTGTCAGTGGTTACTCCAGGAACCTGAATTGTGGCTACCAATTCAACTCATTCATTTCTCATAACCATGTTTTTATTTGTTTGGAGGTGGAGCATGTCAGCCCATTCAGCCTCAGGAATTGTCCCCCCTCTGGTATCAAGTAGGAGGAATGTCCTGCCTCAAAATAGTAGATTACAGTTTCTCAAGTTAGGCTAGTAGTGTAAGAAACCTCAGTATCAGTTGGGTGCTGACCTGGCCAAGGTCTCTAGGCACTACCCTAGTTGCACGCGTACCTTGCACGCTATTTTTGTGTTTTTTCACCTGATCATATCATCTGAATTCAGCGTTCATCCCTGCTTCTTTTTATCTGGGCAGTTTGTGCTAATTGAAGTTTAACCATTAATAAGAGTGAAAACTTACCCAGCTATCCTGAGCTGTATGAAAGAAAACAGACAGAATTTAGGAATTAGATTTCTGAGTACCTTCTTTCCTGTGCCTGGGTTTAACCTTACATGCAGCTTTCCTATATTGGCTGTTAGACCACGGAATTGTTCAGAGAAGCTAATATTGCCATAAGAATACAGCTGTTGATATATTTTATATCTTTTTAGACTATGTAACACTTCAAAGGAAGCAACGAAAATTTCTGACTCGTTTGCTGTTGCAGTTTCTGCTCATGGCCTTGTTAAAACACTCAAATATGTCTGCATTTTCCATCATTTTGTGGGTGGTGGTGAAATTCTAAAAAAAAAAAAAAAGAAAAAAAATTCTTGAACAATTTAAAACAACTAATAAACTATATTTTACATATATCCACTTCGTCTATCTACTTCATTATATCTGCAGCAGTTTTGATCGCTTTGTCATCATACAAAAGAAATCTACGCTAAGGTAGCTTGTTCTCAGTGCTGTGGTTGGTTAATGGTTATTGTGTAATGTTAATACTTTGAAAGCAGAACCAAAATTAAAATGGCAAGTAGGTTTGAGAGTGGGCTATATCATCATAGGTAAGAATTACAGTGCTTTCAGAGTTTCTTTGTTTTTTTTTACCAGTTTTGCAGAGCAGTGTGCAACTATTTCTCTATTGCATTTTGTTAGAGGAAAAACAATAAGAAGCATTTTTAAAAATATCCGCCTGTGTTACTGACTCAGTTGTTTTTGGCTGTTCTTTCTCACTAAGGCCACTCCATGCCCAAAAGAACCAAATAAAGAAATGATTAATGATGGAGCTTCTTGGACAATCATTAGCACAGATAAAGCAGAATACACGTTTTATGAGGGGATGGGACCCGTCCATGCTCCAGTAACACCTGTGCCTGTTGTAGAAAGTCTTCAAGTAAGTTTTTTTTTTCTTTTTTTAATAAACTGTTTCTATGTGAACATATTTTGTGGAACTGATTTAACCTTCTTAGTACCTTTATGGATTATTGTAGGAAAACCTTGTTACCATCCCTATAAAAAGGAAATTACCTTGCTGTATGTTGCTATTTAGAAATTTATTTTGGCTCTTAAAGCAGCCGGTAACAGTTTAAATGAAGCCAGACTGAATCCTTATTGAGGAAATCTGCTTGCTGCTGTTGAAAATCATGGAGTTTTGCTGATGTGTTTGTGAAGGATTCTTTGATCTTTGTTTCCAAAGCCTTTCTTATTGACTGCTTTATTTTAAGTTTTCTAAGTATTCTAAGTATTCCAAGTTCCTTTAGGCTTTCCAGTTGTTTGGCAGTATCTGTTAAATGAGTTATTTCTTCATACATAGGTGTTGTGTAGAATTCGTGTATGAATTAGGAGGAAATATCTCCTGTGATTTTTTTTTTTTTAATTATTATTATTTGTGTGTTTGTTTTGAGGGGAGGTTGCTTGGTTTTACTAACATATCTGTGTTGGTTGGATTTTCTTCTCTCGTGACCCGCTTTGCAGTTGAACGGTGGCGGGGATGTAGCAATGCTTGAACTCACGGGACAGAACTTCACTCCAAATTTACGCGTCTGGTTTGGGGATGTGGAAGCAGAAACCATGTACAGGTACCGAAATTTGCCCTGCTTTTTTTTGCTTACATTTTCCTGGCTACTTTGAATAGCACATAATAATTTTCTAAGCCGTTTTGCACTATTCTGAGTTCACTGTGCTGTGTTTCAGGTGTGCCGAGAGCATGCTCTGTGTCGTTCCCGATATTTCTGCCTTTCGAGAGGGCTGGAGGTGGGTCCGCCAGCCCGTGCAGGTCCCAGTAACTTTGGTCCGTAACGACGGCATCATTTACTCCACCAGCCTTACCTTCACATACACCCCAGAACCGGGGCCACGGCCCCACTGCAGTGCTGCTGGAGCAATCCTCAGAGCCAACTCGAGCCTCATGGCCTCTAGCGAAACAAACACAAACAGCGAGGGAGGTTACACAAACGTCAGTACAAACCCCACCAGCGTCACATCGTCTACAGCAACTGTAGTTTCCTAACTACCGGTGTTCGCTTGGACTCTCAACTGACTTTTTAAGTGCTACGTTCAAGAGAACAATTTTTGTGGTTTCGTGGGAAAACACCTTTCCGTTTTAGGTGATATTATTTGATACCTGACTTGTTACCTGCAAGTGCTGATCTTAAATATAGAAGCCACAATAAAAAAAAAAAAAAATACATCTGAAACATAAGGACTTTATTGAAAATCTATTTTTCAGCTGTTTTTTTTTAAATGGGCAAGAAATAAAAATGTGGCTGGGATACATGTTGAGCAAACTAGAAAACATGAACACAGCATAGTTTTTATGGACCAAGGAACTTGTATAAGCTTTAGTATAAAAGGTACATTTTCACCATACCTTTTTTGTATCACAACATATAGTACACTTTTGTTACCAAATAGTTTATATTTTTTTTTCCTCCGAGCTCTTGCTCTGAAGTATATTCAGGTTCCAAGCCTGACCATGCTTGTATAATCTAATTACCATACTCTTCCAGTTTAAAAAAAAATATATATATTTTTGGTCTGTGGCTGGAACTGTTCCTTTTTTTAAACTGAAGTCTTGTGACTTTTTATGAACTGAAATTGTTTTTATTTCAGCAAGTAGAACCTTGTAAAGGCCAGCATATTTTTTTTAAGATTATATGAAGTCTGTGCAAAAGCTTTAAAAAATGCCTCTGCCTTGCCTGCAATACATGCAATGTATGTTAACTTTAGTGCTCTGTTTTCAGTCATTGTTAATAGTTATTTCTGTTTTCCTTTTTTTAATATGTATTTATAGTGATAATTCATGAGGTTCTAACATGACATGAGGTTTTTTAAAGTGGCATCTCAAGCAGCCTTGATGATTGTTCGTGTCACAGGCAAACATTGGTGTTTTTGAAGGGTTGTTACTGGGTTTCTCCCCCTCTTCCCTGCTCAGTCATATTGCATCAGAAAATGTTCCAGGATCTGTTCAGGTTTTCTAATCTTGTACATAATTTGTATTGAGTGTAAGTTAAATGTTTTATTTCGGAAGTGGACTGTTCCCAATAACTTCATTTGGCAGCATGTCTTCTGTCTTGTTGGCATGTGATTAAAATATCATGAGAAGTATGTGCTACAAATGGGATTGGTAGGTGATGCCCTTCATCACTGCGAATCACAAAAAGCATGTTGTCCTTCATCCTGTTGAGTAAATTAGGCCAGACTTTGGTGTAAGACTTGTATTGAGAAAGTGCTTTCGTTGTGAAGTGGTCATACCCATAATACCTAGAAGTAAATTATATTACTTAGCAATGGGCAAATAGAAAACTGTAAAAGCACTATCAAGATGTCAGCTCCTCCTCCCATCCTTGTTTCCTGTGGGTTTCTCTTTCCCTGCCAACAGCTTGTGCAATGTTCAAGTCTTCTCTCCATCATAAATTTAAGGCTCATTTGCACTTTGACTTTGTTGGTTGTTGTGTTTGTTTTTCACTTTGACCTTGCCATGTTTTAGCCCTCTGCCTGCTTCATCACGTCTTTGAAAATAGATCCCGGTAGTGCATCCGTAGTGACAGAACTAGCCATAGACTCCCAGGACAAGTTCTGATAGTGTCATCTTCCACCCTAGAAGCCAAAATACGAATTTCATTACGTGTTCAGCCTCTGCCCTGTCCCACAGCCAGAGCCACACGTGCAGTGTGGCCGTGGCTCTCTGCAGGGCGTCGTGCTGCCTGCTCTGTTCAACCTCCTCAGAGGGTCGGTCGTTCCCGACACTCATCCCAGTTCCCACAGCGGCAGCGCCCCGTGGAAGCGTCGGCTCCGCACCACGTTTGTCAGCGGCGATGCTCCGCTCCGATGCCTGCTCCAGCGCTCCCTTCAGCATGGCTGGTGTCTCCTGAAGACAATGTGGTTAAAGGAAGAAACCGGTTACAAAAACACGCTTAGCTAATAGCTGAAGTCAGTGCCACTGTCCTCCTGAAATGCATTCGTGTTCCACCACAGGCCTTCGTGTTTCATGCTCCGTATCACGATACTTCTCCCCACGACGCCGTCGCGATGCCGGTTCGTAGCACTAGTGAATACTGCCTCACCTCAGCTCTGTTTCAGTGACCAAGGGCAGAATTCAGTGTGGCCTTATCTCTCTCTTAAACTGTTTACTGGCATTTACTTGCAAATCTGTTTACTTGTGTATGTGCTACATAACTTCCTTTTAATTGTCAACTGTGGCAGGAATCATTTCACAGTGTTTTTGATAGAAGCACATCAGTAGCTTACAGTGCCGCTTCGTTCAAGGGCCACGGTTTTTCAGCACTAATTAGACTGAGAGTTGAAGTGACAGGTATCAGATTTAGAAGGATATTCAAGAACAAGACATTATATACACAGAGTAGGTAAACCATAACAAGCCTTTTAACCTTCAAAGAATATTTTAAATAGCTTTTCAGAACTTGACACCTGCTTTTATATTCATTATTTTGAATTTTTTACATATAAAATGAAATACTTTTTGTATTCAGTTTCTTTTCTTGCAATAAGTTTGCCCAGTAGAGCATATTACAATATTCCTTGACTTGTAAAGAATCTAACTACTTAGCCTAATTTCTGCTGTTTTACACACTACAGCCTAGGAGGGTGAAAGAAAAAAAATAGGTTATTAAATTCTGCTTAAAAGACCATTTTAAACCCTGTGTTTTCTCTTGGGCTTGTGGCTCCTTTGTTGCCAGTAGGTAATTTGTAGACAGAAATGGTCTTCCAGGTCCTTCCTGTTGTTAAGATGTCCGGTTGTTCAGATATATTATCTTCCTGAACCTTTCCTGTGGGGTGATATTGTTACATTTATTGGCCTCGTGAGCTGTTAATCAATTTTCATGATATTAACAATATCTAAAGGTTTTGATTAAACTACTTTTAGAATGTTTCAGTATGAAACTATATAACTGTTCAAGTTTAGCTGTTAAGTCTGCTGTTAATTCTGTATACCTAGAAATGAGTCTCTGTGCAGATTGTTGTTCTAGTTCCAACTTTAGGATGAAAAAGCAAATTAAGTGCGCAAATTTAGCTATGCCTTCTCTTGTTTTCTTTTTGTTTGGAACTGCATTTCAGAGTTCAACACTAGTGTAGTCTTCAATAACCTGCTGCTGACTTTTTTTTCTCCCAATTTTTTGCCCTTAAAGGCTTCCTACAAGTGTTTTAATAAGATATTCTGTCCTTTGTACTGCATGGACTTAAACAATCAGAATGGTTACCTGAAAAGGCATGAACTAAAGAAAGAAATCTGTGAATTCCTCACACACATAAAATTAATGCCAAGCAAAACTAATTAGCTCTTGTCAGTAAGCTACCCACTGTAGACTAAATGACTCCGTAGAGGTGTCCCATTTTGCAACTAAATGCTCTTCAATTATTAACCGTATTATTTACTTTCTTTCAAAAGCAGCTGTGTTTATGAGTACTGAACAAATGTGTATCCTTTCCTGTGCCAGACTTTTGAGTTTGTTTTCAAGCACTGTACTGTGGGATTGAGTGGCAGCTTTGCTAGAAAAAGAAGTATATTAGGGTTTCCACTTAACCCTTTTAGGACTGAACAATTTCTTCCCTTCATAAAAACGTTGTAAAATAAATGAGCAGTTCTAACTTTGTTAACATTTGTCTATGTTCAGCACTGCATTTGCCCCAAATGGAGGTGCTATGCTAATTGCTTTTTTTTTTTGTTAATCCTGTAGTATGTGTATACATTCAGTCTTAAAAGGGTTATTTTTTCAAACTGTGCACCTGTAAAGTTTCTTAGCAATAAGGTAGAAAATTGAGCAAGTTTTTACCATAATTTTGTAGAATTAATTGCTCAGTTCCATATTTCATTAAAAAAAAAAAAAACTGCAATATAGGCAGTTTGGAGGAATAAATAAAAGTGAAATGTAAACCACATAAAAGTGTTTTTGTCAAGTGTACTCTCTGTGCGTATGTGCATATAATACCTGGTTTCATTTTTTAAATGCTAAAGATAAATGCCATGCTACTGTTGATGCAACAAATAGAATTGAACGTTGGTATGGTGATAGCGTAAAGGCAGTTATGATTTGATCAGATGTTGGAGCAAAAAATTTGCCATGTTTTGTGGATTTTTTTCAATGTTATACATGGGGAAAAAGGTGTTTGATTTTTTTTATTGCTATTACTATTTTGGCAAAAGAACAGTGAGGTCAACAATGGAACCAGAACAACAACAAAGACCAAGCCCAGGAGTGGAGAAGTCATCAGTAGTTCTGAGGCTCTGTGCACTGGACTCCAGTTCAACGGGATATCGAATGTCCATCCAAAAAGCTGGTCTCCAAACCCAAACCTGTTTCATTATGGCTTGTATAATTGCTGGAGTTAGAGAAGAGACTGTTTTTTCTTTTTTTTTTTTCCAATAATGTAAAAGAAAAAAAAAGGTTCACTTTTTGATATTATTTATTAAATAAGAAAAAAAAACCAACTGTGTTTAATTGTTTAACTTTAGCAACTTTGTTATTACGATTACTGTATCTGATTTAGTTTCATCTTGTTCCTGTAGGTATGGACTGTCTGATATTTCTATTGCTTGGTTAACAGCAATAAGAAACACAAGTTCCTCAGCCCTGTGAAGAGGTGGGAAGCGGATGCAGCAGAGAGAGGGTTTGCGATGGTCGCAAGTCCCAGTATTGCAGAAGCCCTGCACGTTTCATGCCAAACTACTGCAAAAGCTGCTGGTTCAGTTGTCAGAGGGACAAGCAGACAGACTGAGTTGCTAAGAAGGTGCAGCAAGAGTCGGGGATTTGATATTTTAGGTGGATGATAAGGAGGTATTGTAGATTTTCTGGAAACGTCTGCACAGATCAGTGTAGCTCCTAGTTTGTCACACAAAAAATCAACATTGGTGGAGCAGCTGCTTTTCTGCTGTTGGTAGCATGGGGAGTGTGGGCAGGTCACATTTCGAAATTTTTAAGATGACTTTACCATTCTGGAGAGGGACTGCAGTTGGCTCAGACTTTTCAGAAGAAAAGAAAATAGAGGCTTTCTGGGGCTTTGGCAAAAAGAAAGGGTCACAGAATCACAGAATATTCAAGGTTGGAAGGGACCTCTAGAGATCATCTAGTCCAACCTTCCCACACTTGCGGGTCACTTGCTTATCTTCACTGTTAGTATATCTGGAAGAAACAGAGTGTGAGATGGTGCTGATCCTGCATGAGAACATGCACATAAAAACAAAAACTGCATCTAAGCCATACCAATTAGCTGCACAGGAGGCCTGCAAAATAAATCCTGTTAATATCCCGAATAAAGAGTGAAAAGGAAAACTGTATTTGGCTGGAGGAAAAGGACAGGAGGATAACACTGAGACTGCTGTTTCATGGTCATGGTGCTGCATGATTCTGAGAAGCAGAAAAAAAATAACAGGCTGCTGTTCAGGGACTGGCAAGTAGAAAATATTTACTGTAGTTATAATACTTCTGTTTTGTGCCAAAACCACTCCAAAGGCCAAAAAACATGAGGAGTTAGAGCCCTGAAAAAGAATTGGTAAAGGCTCTGTCACCTTTCCAATTCTTTGTCTTCAAGCATGAAAAAGGTGACCACAGTTTTGCTGTCATCTTTTTCACCGTCACTTTATGCCACCGTCACTTCCCTTATTCCTGTGGGGTTTTTCCCCTGATCCTTAATTAGTTGGCAATTTTTTTTCTCACAACCTGCTGAATAACTCAATAGGGATGAGTCAGTGTTAGATAAGATGCAGGGTAAGTTTTAAGATTACTTGCTGTAATCTCTCTGTGCTGTTTCTAGTGCTGTGCTGTTGGGTAGAGGGTAGAAGAAGGATTTGGGGGACGGAGGTATTTTTTTAGCCTGTCTGTAAGTGTATTGAATAGAAGTTTCTACAGACCTGACCTTAAATGATCTGCAGTTCTTCATCCGGAGGTGATGCTCTTATTTTGAAGCCGTATAATTTATGCTCTTTTTTTTTTTTTTTTTTTTTTTCCAATATAGAATATAGAAGAAGTGGGTTTACTTGTCATCATCCATTTTTTATTTGTATTTACTGTCATGCTCTCTCATCTACGTTCAGATAAACCTTAAATCTTCTCTGCTCTTAAATACATTTTCCCCTGGGAAATTTGTCAGTCCCTGCTGCTATAAGTCGCTACAGAGATATTTAACAGGCAGCCTGTGACTTTATACCATTCAAACTACTTCTTCATCCCTTCTTCTATCACTGTCTACCACAGCTTCTTGTAAATGACTTTCCTTGAGGCCTCTGGCATACAAATACAGCAATTGCATTGATTTGTTCATTGCAGTATCAATGCATGAATGTATTTGTAATAAATAGCAATTGATTTGCTCTCCTTAATACACATCTAGCTTTAAAGCTAAGGCTATAGCATCAGGAATTTTAAAGAAGTTTGTAGTTCTATTTTAATAGTTTCATCAGTTGTATTAAGGGTAGACAGACAAATCTATACCTAATAATGTTTTGTGGCTTCAAATAATCTGTTTTAATAGCAAGCTGGGTGCAAATATATGATTAGTTCTTACCTAAAATTTCTGAAAGAGTTTTAATTGGATCTTGGGCCCAATGCCTTTTTGGAGTGAATCAGCTTGTTCTGACATTTCTTTTTTAATTTTGCTCTTTCTGGTAAA